CATCTTGTTTGTTTTGTTTTATTTCATGTTTCAAAGTAGTAGTCACATAAATGATATGTTCTCCTCAAGTGTTCCAACTCGAGCTAATATATCTTAAGCAAACGTTTGGAAATAAAAGAGAAGCAAGTTTTACTTTTCATTGAACTGGCCCGAATCGAATCGAATCGAACCGATTCAGGATTTGAAAATGTTGTCCCGAATCGAACCGAACCGATTCAGGATTTGAAAATGTTGTGCCGAATCGAACCGAACCGATTCAGGATTTGAAACTGTTGTCCCGAATCGAATCAGGAAATCCTGATTCGTTTCGGGCTCTGATATCTACACGAGAATTTTGTATCACTTCATACAAACGTTTTGTTGCCTAATTCACGAGAATAATGCTTTTACACAAGAGTTGTGGTGTTTTGCATGAGAATTATGCGTCTAGTCTACACAGAATTACGCTCTCAATTTTGCACCTCTTTATGGAAACTTTTCCTTCGCTAGTTCGCGGGAATAATGCTTTCACACGAGCAGGGGCGCCCCAATACCTCGAAGGCAGGGGGACAAAGTCAATTTCGGAGTAAATTTTTATGCTTTTAAAAATTGGAGTAAAACTAAAACAAAAGTTAATTATTCTATGCAGTTTTTTTCTAAAGCAAGACTAAAATTTTGCATGACTATCAAACAGAGAAAGAGAAAAAACAAATGCTTTACTTTAAGAATGAAAGTCGATACCTTACTCCGAAAATGGAAGTAAATATCTTGCTTTTGAAAAAAGAGTAAATTCCTAACTGCGAAACGGAGAGTAAGCCTTTTACTCTCAAAATGGGAATAAATATCTTACTCCGAAGGACCTTTGGAGTAAGATATTTATTGCCATTTTCAGAGTAAGGCGCCCCTTGAGAGTAAACGCCTACTCTGAAATCGGGAATAAGTGCTTTACTTCGAAACTGAGAGTAAGCCTGTTATACTCTAAAGATGAAAGTAAACGCTTTACTCCGTGGGATATTCTCGTAAGGCAAAGATCTAATTTTCGGAGTAAGAAAATCCTGATTTCGAAGTAAATTTTTTCAAAAAGCAGGGGGTGATCCCTCCCCCCTTATCGGGGCGCCCCTGAATTCCACGGTGGAATTTTTTAAAAATTTCCACCCTCAGTTATAGCAGCGCCCAGTCCTACAGTGTCCTGACCCAGAATGCAAAACTTATTTTAATTTCCAAGACTAACCTGATAGAATCATAGTTGTGCGACATCATTGTCATTGTTATCGTTTCGTGAGATTTTCGCCAATAGAAAAGCTTATTCCATCTTGATATATTATGAATCGTTATTTAAGGCTAAAGGATATTACCGTCATTATTAATGAGGATGATCTATCTGTGTTTTTTGTAAAAACTAAAAACGAAATGGTTTATGGAATTTTCTTTGTTTACTGATTTGTGCTTAAGATTTTAGAGAAGATCGTCAAGAACACCATCAAGATAGTATAATTATTGAATATTTTTGTTGAGTAAAATGGGCATTCCTGTCGACGATGATACACGGGAAATTAACAAAGATTTTGTATGTTCATACTGTAAAAACTTTGTCAAAGAACCGAGACAACTTGAATGTGAACACCTGTATTGTACTCAATGCTTGTCAGAATCTTATAAGTACGGTATTTACTAAATGAGAATGATTTGTGCACGGTGTATCTTTATTTGTACTGTATAGAGACTCAAGTGTGTATTTTCGATGTATGGTCAATGAGTGTAAACAAGTAGTGACTTCACTGTTGAAGGTATTTTATGAGAAATAAATCGAGTCATTTTTGTTTGTAGAATGCTTTTTTTTAGCAATCTTTTCATGATAAACGAGTGGAAGCACAAATGTCATGTATTGATGTACTTTGTACAAATAAGAAAAATGGTTGTACTTGGTTTGGGAAATTCAAGGATTATCCAGTATGTTTCTAATTGGTGAAACTTGAGTGATTACCATTAAACGTGAAATGGTAAGATTAAACGTGGAAGAATGAGTTATCACTTTTCAGGTCTGAAACATAAAAAAAAAGAACTGCATCCAGTGAACATCTTCGGTTACTTGTTAGATATAGCACATTTTTCGCACTAAATCATTTTTCCATGTGTAACATTAACACATGTCAATGCGATAATCAGTTAAATGAAAGAAATTGAATTGTAAAACACTTTCTTCGAAAAAACACTTCAGGAATTCAAGGTGGAAAATTTTTCAAAAAAAACTTTTGTATCCTGCAGAAGATAATAGAAAAAGTCGTTGTATGTAAATAGTACTAAAACTTCATTCATAGTACAGAATTACAGTTACCAAAATATAGGCTAATTTCTTGTTTTTCATTTCCTTTAGGCTCACTTATCTAAATGTACTAAAACGGATTCAACTTGGCTAACTAGTTCCTTAACAATGAATGCAATTGGGAAAAGCCATTTCTCTTTGTTCAGCGTAGGTGAATTTATTCGTATTTTTTCTCAGTCTGTCGAGTTCTTGAATTTTTCTTGAAAGAAAAAATCAAAGGTATCTTGCGTTTACTTTTATTATTAAAAACCACGAATGAACTAGTGTATTTGTACGTTTATTTTAGAGAGCTGCTGAAGAACAAGATAGTGGGGATTCAATAACAGAAAAATCTCCGTCAACACCATTTCTTCCTAGAATACTTGCTAAATCAAAAACATCATCAACATCGATATCTTCACCATCAAAAATGATTCCCAATGTCTCTGGTTTATTAACGTTTGCTGTTAAGAGTCCAACTGGTCGATACATGATTCAAGGAACAAACAATCGTTTTGGATCCATCCAAGTTGAAACTTGCGTAATAGACAGTGGTTGCAATTCCATATTATTACCGTTAACGGATGGCGTACAAAAAATATTTCAAGAATTTGGAGATAAAAAGTATGAGTGGTCTATAGTAGGGGTGGCACATTTTCTTTACTGATGCGTTACTTTACTGAGTAAAGCAACGCTTTCAAATATCACCGTATGAGTGACGAACAACCGAAAATGTATTGTTTTATCACCTTCCGGACACAATGCG